GAGACATCATTTGCAGAGTAAACAGATGCAAAGCAGGTTTAATCTCTTAAAATACACAGCTGGGAATTTCTACAGGGCAGATTGAAAAATTAACACAGAAAACCAAGGTCCCCCCCAGCTACTGTGGTGTTGGTGGGGTCAGAAGAAGAAGGACTGCTGGGACAGGAGTCGGAGCTCTACAGTTTGCACCGAGTGACCTTCAGTCCAGCCCCGAGAGCCAGCCATCAAGCCAGAGCAGGTTACATCTTACACCCCACAGCCTCCACCACTTCCAGCTGCCTGGCCAGCCTAGAGGTCTCGAGTCTCTGCTGTCACCACCTTGAGGTGAGGACGTCACCTCTGTCCTGCACAGCGGGGCTGGGAACTCTAACTCGTGACAACACAGAGCACAACTCAAGAGCTCGGGAACAAAGTTTAAAGAAAAAAACATCAGTTACATTAATCTCACACAGAAAAGCCACTACAGCAAAGCACTGATTGCTTAAATGTGTTTACCAGCAATGTGATCAATACCTGTCCAGGAAGCCACTGGTTAAGCTGTGCTGAAGACCAGCATGTATAGCATCAGCCTCCCCAGAATGGCCACACACCCCCTGGACCACTCACCAGCCACGCATCCAGCTTCTGAAGAAGAAAAACAGGGGCAAGAGCAACACGGCAATGCTTGGAGCAAGGCTGGGAGCGCAGAGGTTGGGCAGAGAGACGAGCAGTGGCAATTTGCAATGGGGTGCAGGGAGGACGGGGTCTTCTGGAAGTGGATGGGATGGAGGGCATGGCAAGACGGCATGGCAGGATGACAGAAATCAGGCTGCTCCGCCTGGACCACAGCCTCTCCTTCCCGGGGACCTGCAGCCCCAGCACGCAGAGGAATTTCCTGCTGCCCCATCCTGCTCCAAACACCCACCTCCCAGCTCCCAAGACTCAAAGAAACCGTGCTCCCCAGGACAGCTGCTGAGCAGCCAGGGCTCCCTGGCAAGGCTGTTTGGATGGGCAGCCTGGGGTGAAGCCAAGGTGGCAGCGTGGATTAGGCAGCAAAACATTCATGCTCTCCCTCCTCCGCCTGCTCCGGTGCTATTTCCCATGGGCTTTGAAGCCTGAGGCAGGGAGCAGGCTCCAGCACAGCGGGTGTGCAACAAAACCCAACCAGAGATACAATCCTGGGACTACTGGCCTTGCAGAGGAATTGCTGAACCCCCAGCTCATTCCCTCAGTGGAGCCAGGAGGTGCCCATGGCCGAAGAGCAGCAACGGCAGAGAGGGAAGGGACGAGCACAGGCAGGTGAAGCCAAGAGGCAGCAGTGGTTCCCCCTGCCCAGCTTGGCAGGGAGCGGCATGCCCCCAGGAGCAAGCTCCCAACAAGACCTCCAACAAGCCACCAGCTCTCTGTCCCTGTCAGCACGAGGTACCATTCACAGGCCACAAAAACGCATCTCCAGAGCCCCCCAAACAGCACGACAGCAAGACTCCTGCTGCCAAGACTCCTTCCGCTAATCCTCTAAAGACTGTTTGTGCAGCAGAGGTTTCCCCCTCCCCAGCCTCCTGCTCGGGTCAGCAGTCCTCCTTCCCGCCTGAAGGAGCACACCACAATGAAACACACACAGATACTCGGGCAAACATAGCGCTGCTTGCTCCTCTCCCATCTTGCCCTTTCAGGGCCTGAGCCCAGCAAACCTTTGGAAGGGGCCGGATCCCTTCAGGGAGGAGCACGGTCCTCCCCGGATCATCGACTCTCCCACCCCTTTGACTTTGATTGAGGCGAGGCAGCTGAGACCACCACGGGCGAAAGCTCTTCTCCTGGCTCCAGGTCTCACCGTGGGCTGCCACGGCAAGGATCAAGCCAAGCCCTTCCCTGGGCCACCTTGCCATCCCCTCCCTCACATCAGCCCCAGCGACTCGAGGCCGCAGGGTGTGTCTGATCTGTCCGCAACGTCAGGTGTTGGGCTTGGTGTACTTCTGCAGAGTCAGCAAGCCAAGGAGCTTTCCCCAGAGCCATACAACTACAAGACAAAGACAGGGGCAGAGACCTGGCCAGGGAGCTGGTCTGCTCGAATAAAACTCGCACCTCAAGCTGGGCTGGACAGTGCTTGAATAAAACACACCTGGTCTGCAGCAAGCATGGTGTGAAAGAGCCCCATCACCCACCTGCAGACAACTACTTCCCTCCCCTCTGCTTGAGCACTCTGCGCTGCAGGACGACGCCCGAAATTCCCCCATGCATCCCTCACGCGCTGGCTCTGACAAGACACAGGAGACCTGAGCAAGACTGTACACGCAGCTTGCGAGCTCCTTCCTGAGCTTCCAGAAGGGCTGGAGGAGTCTATCTGCAGCGACAAGCTTTTTTGGCAGGAACCTCCCTGAAAAGTCATCTGAAGATGCATGGTCAAATCCCACCCGAGAGCGTTGCCTTACTGCTGCACAAACACCTTAATCCCAACATGAAACAACAAGCGACCGCACCATTAAAAAGAAGAATTACTTACTTTTCATCATACATTATTACTGGCAGCCTTGGAAAAACATGCAAGAACGGAGCCAGGACACTTAAACTCTCCTGGCAGCGCAACGGTGGGAAGCTCACACCACTACTGTCTAAAATAAATCCTTAATCCCTGGGAAAGGCAGAAGGTTCTTCAGAGCTGACAACAGATTTCAAGAGCAAGAAAATTTATGACGACAAACGCACCTCAGCTTAGGGGCACTGGAGTTCCATCAAGATTTGGACCAGACTAATGAAATACGTAACTACTGAATAAAAAAGTTAAACTGGGTAGAGATGGCTTTCAATGTTTGTGTGTCCAATCGCTCTAGACTGGCTGAAAACACAGCAACAAACCAGACCCCCAAGGCCTGACAGCAACCACCCAGAGGAGAATGTTTAAGAATGACCAAGGGCCCAAAAAAAAAAAAAAAAAGGAAAGCGGCAGAGAAAAACCAGAAACAACGGGTGCGGGGACCGGGACACAGCCCCCCAAGAATACCCCTCGTCCTCGGGACTGAGCTAACAACTCATGAAAACGTGAAAATTTCGTTCTCGTGAGTTTGCGGAGCGCTTCGCGTTGGACCCTCGTGGATTCAAGCCTGGCCACCTGGAATACTGCAAGCCCCGGCCTCCTCGCGACAGCCACCACGCAGTGGGCGACTTCAGCTGCGACGGCAAAATAAACCTGAATTATAACCGGAATAAACCTGAATTATAACCGGAATAAACCTGAATTATGGGCCAGGCATGCCCGCACCCCGCTGTCCCACCCGTGCAGCCCCCCAGCGGTCACTCCGTGACCGTGTACCTCCCACAGGGGGCCGGGGGAGCCCACCAAGGCCAGGCCTGAGCCCCCC